GCTAGCTGCCTGGCTGGCTGGCTAGCTAGCTGCCTGGCTGGCTGGCTAGCTAGCTGCCTGGCTGGCTAGCTGCCTGCCTGGCTAGCTAGCTGCCTACCTGGCTGGCTAGAGCTGTGTGCCTTCCTAGCTAGCTAGCTAGCTGCCTGCCTGGCTGGCTAGCAAGCTTAGGCAGGCTGCTCTTGGGGCAGGCTCCTGCTCTTGGGCCTCTTGGTCTGCTCTTGGTCCTCTTGACCTGCTCTTGTCCTTCATTAGGCCATATAATCAGAAATCTTATATACACTACCCTTGTTATCACACACAGAGAAGACCACCATATATATTTATAGTTACAGAGCATCCTTGTTTTACCAATAACATTAATTTTCTCAAATAAAATCTAATAAAAATTAGTTCTAACTTTTTAGATATCCTATTAGACATTTCTAATAATAAAATAAACAATAGTATATAAGGACTGACTCAGCCACATTATTTCATTGGTTTTTAATTTACAGGTATGTAGTTTTCCATTAATTCCTGAAAGATCAGAATCTTTGAGAAACTGGTTTTAAAAATGCCTCATACACAAGCAGCTGCCTTGCTCATATCATGTTTATTTAGCTACAAAATTTGAGCAAAATTAGCTAGTTGGAATAATTCTATTTTTTTATACCTCAATTTGTATTTTTTTAAATCTGCTCTGCTAAAATAGTGATGGTCTCAAACAAGACTCCAAGCTATTGGTCCATATCCTGCTCCACCTCAAACACATGTAACCAAACACTGACAAAATGAGAAAACACAACAAAAAGTAGAATTTTATGTAAAAGAAATATAATTTACACTTAAAAATAAATGAGGTATAATTTTTAAMAAAAAAAAAAAAAACTACAGTTCTATTTTTCAGTCTTGTTCTTCGTCTGTGTCGAGTGGTCCTCGGTTCAGAGGAAGGAACGGTTTGATCTGCTGCCAACGACTGGGGGGCCAGATGATGTGAGAGGCTCGACCGTGCAGGAGCCCCACTGAAACCTGAATAGAAAGAAAAAAAGCATCAATAATACATCCTAATAAATCATATTTTGACATCTACAACAGGTAAATTAATTTTTTCTACAAAGCCAAGCCACTGAATAAAATATATAAACATGCCACATATGTAAATATTTATGAATGTGCAAAATGTGTAATTATATTTTTCGACATGACTTATAAATCTGTGGCACCCTGCTGTAAAATCAGAGTACGTGTTACAGTATGAGATGCAGAAAGGTTGATTTATTCCTACGTATCTCAATGCTCTGCAGAATCACGAGGCAAATACACAAAATGAGATGTGATTAACAGGAAGACAAAACCTGCATAGAACATATTCAGCTTTTTACTAGTGTACATTTCTTAAATAACTTTTTGTTTGTCTGGATGCTGTGTGACTGTGAAGGTTCTTACTGGTCCAAAGCTGTTGCTGTCCAGACTGTGTCCATGATGATCGCCCTCAATCCAGAAATGACCGTCAGGGATTTGAACATATCGATTCTTGTAGCCCAAAGTCCTGTAAAGAGTAAAACAGAAAATAAAAAAATAAAAAAACAGACCATGTTTTCAGTACATTTATTGGTGAATTTAGAGACGCTAAAACAAAAGTGCTGCACATCATTTTACCAACAACCAGAAGCTATTTCTTGGTTCAAGAGAAAAAAAATTAGAAAACACTTTTAGCATCTTTTGATTTTAAGTGTCTTTTGGTTAAATATATATTTCCAGTTGGATTCATAATCTTTGAGGCAGTGATAGAAATTTTACACAGTGAGAATGAAAAACTCTATTAAAGGAACAGATGATCCAAAACTGCAGAAATGGACTGAAGTACGAGCAGCTTGTTTGTATTTTATGGTGTAGTATGAGGCCAAAATTAGGACTATTGTGCAACCAGTGGTTGTTACATCCTTGTAGCAGGAGGCTATATCTATTCCTAAGCCAGCTATTGATCTGATTAATGATAGGCCGGCCCTGGTGACTGAGCAGCTGGCCTGGTAACTGAGAGGCCGGCACTGGCAAATGAGGAGACTATTTATTTGTGTTAGCATCGGAGAGGCTCTCAAATGCTAACACAAATGAATAGTTTCCTCATTTGGCAGCGTCGGCCTCTAACAGGGTTCCTACAATTTAAGGAAAGTTAAATTTAAGACTTTTTAATGCCAAGTGAAATCAAATTTAAGACCAATTTCACAATAAAAAAGGCAAAAAAAAATTAAACTGTGGCAGAAACTCACGAATCACAGTATTTTTGGTTGAATTATTCAAATTTTTCTAATAGACCAATTGTTTTTATCCATATCTAACTGTTATTTTGTCAAATATAGCAAAAAAATGACAGTTTTAAACTTAATTTACTTCCTGGAAATTATCTAACGACCCAAAATTTGGAGTTTTAGGACCCAGAGTGGGTTCTCAACCCTAGCTTGCTGTAGATAAAACCTTAAAGTGCCTGTGACATCAAATTTTTGTAAGAAATATGAACACATTTTTGGAAAGACAACATTATTAACATTATAAAATGAATTTCATATTGCTCAGATGGACAGTTGTTGAGATATTTGCAGAAGAAACAGGAAGTGGTGTCAAAAGGAAACGTCTGAATGAGAATACCGTATTTCAAAAATAAATAAATGCTACCAATTATTTTAATATTTGAGAAGAATTACAGTCATCCTATTTACAATGTGTTAACATTTTTGAGACTTCTGAAGATTGATTTAAGACCTTTTAAGTCTAATTAAGGCCTTATTTTTGGATAGATGCATTCAAGGCCTTTTAAGACTTTTTAAGGATCCACGGGAACCCTGCTCTCAGTTAGCGGGGCCGGCCTTTCGTTAATCAGATCAATAGCTGGATTAGAAATAGATATAATCTCCTGCTACAAGGATGTAGCAACCACTGCTTGTGCAATAGTCTTAATTTTGGCCCTCATACCGCACCATAGGCTACGTTCACACTGAGGGCAAATCCAACCCAAATCTGATTTTTTTTGACCCATCTGACTCATATCCGATTTTTTTATGACAGTCTGAACGCGACAAATCCGATTTTT